ATGAGCAGCTATAGCATGCAATAACAATTGAATTTCTTTTATTGTGTGGTTCAAAGGGAATCCTTTACAATGCTACACTGCACTGTAATATTAGTAAACATTTCTTCCACAAAAAAAAAAAAATCAGTAAATATTTCTTCCACAAACGGTCCACATTATGTGACACAATATTTTCCCCAGATGAAAACAAGCAGGTACATACTGATCTTCTGTTCCAAAAAACTTCACAAAGAAGCACTTTTTTCCTCGAGGTTTCTTCAGATCTTTAGGTGGGTTAACAATCTAAAGGTGATTAGAAATCAAAATTAAAAACCACACAGTGACAGAGTGTTCAGCTATTGTAGATTTTTTAAAAATCTGATTAGGAAAATAACTGGTATTAATAAAAAACTGTTCCACTTAGGTAACCTTTAAAATTTAAACTTTGTCTTTACTGTCTACAAATAGATTGCTTACCAAATTTAAAACGTTAGTAAGGAGAAAAGCTATCATTCAGTTACATAGGTGACATCTGTAGAGGAGCCTGGTGTTAACTTGATCCAATAACTAAATATTTATAGTTGTCAGCCACATTTACAATTCTTTTCCCTGACTCATGCTGTTACCTCAGCATTCTTAGCCTTCACAGGACATAAAAGAAAGGTCTTTCAGTGAAGTAGAAATAATAGAAATGTCATATAAAATTATTTTTTAAAAATATTTTATCTGAGAAAACTCCCACCAAACCAGAAGTAGGATCAAACTGCCCCAAGATAATTCTCAAAAACCACAGCTCTAAAACAGTATCTTGAGAAGCCAGGCTCCTTATTTCTATTATTTAACACAGTACTATTAACCAACTTACTATGGAAGAAAAATGTGTCTTGCAGAAAGTGACAGGGATTAAACAACTAAATTTGGGAAACACAATCAGTTCCAGAGCTGGCTCTCTGTTTGCTTTTCATTCCACATGAACTTCCAGCTGTTATCAAATAAAGCCCTAAACTAGTTCACACTTTAGATTTGTGAGGTACATGTGTTTAAAAAACAAACAAGAAAACCAGTATTAACCTACAACTGAAATGCTTTCAAGCAAAGCTTTCCCTACAAAGAAGGAAAACACAAAAAACTCCACACCCCAAAACAAACAAACAAAAATGCCCCACCAACCCAAAAAACCCCCACAAACCATGAATAACTAAGAAAGCAACAATAAATACAAATAAACCTCACCTTCCCTGGCCATGGAGGGTAACGGCCCAGCTTCCCCCTAGAGAAAAAGAAAGTATTAGGCACCAGAACCAGAGAGAAAAAAACAAACATCCCAGTGTCTGCTTTTTCACATTATGAGACACTTTTCATATTAAGAGAGTTACAATTTGCAGTCAAAACCTTCTGTGCAAGGCAGGACACAGGGCTGACACCTGCACCTAGCTCAGGTCTCTGAACAGTCTGTTTGATATTGCTGCACTGTCAGAACTGAAGAGCAGCAGCTACACTGCCGGCAAGATACAAGAGTAACAGGCACTATAGCACCGTTTCAGTTCACATGGAACTGAAAAGAAAAGCACTGATGCAGTCAATCAGACCGAAGTTCAGGTTGAGACCTTCCATCCACGTGTCTAGAGCAGCTGGAGAGCAGAGAAGCTACCAACTCCCAGCTCAAAAAGCTGGATCCCCTCAACAGGTGCTTCACTATCACTTTCTTTAGGTGCTCACCACCACACTAGACATGAAGAGCCATAAAAGAAAGGGGGAGAAGATTACTTTCTACACTTGCAAATGTTTCCATTATAAAAACTAGGCAATAGTAGAAAGAATCACAGAGGAGGAAGAGACATTAGTCTTAGCTCTCAGCTCACCAGGTTTCCTGGTGAGCTTTATCCTTATTTCACCCTTGTCATGGACTTGTGCTGCAGTTCTCACAAAACTCCATTAGTAACCATCTTGCAATAGACAGGCAAAGAACCTGTGGGGCCCAACAGCTCCTGACACGAAACTTCTCAGCAAGCGGCACTGCAGCCTCCTGAGATGGCAAAGCTGCACAGAAGATTCAGAAGCCAGGGGCAGGCAGGAACACTGCCAAGTGCCAAGTGACCATGACCATATCTCATATTCAATACTCCAATTTCTGTACTGAGAAAAAAACTCAGCAAACCTTTTCTGCTGTTGCTGTCTGATTGCTAAAGTTCCCTGCGACAGCTCTAGGGACAGCACCTGGCTGTCATGTACAAAACTAAAGCAGGATAATCTACATTCCAACACTACGAGCAGAACACTCCCCAAATTCTCATCTGAAAGAAACATGCTAAAAGTAACTAATCCTTACTTACTTTGTTATATAAATTAGACAACTTCCCAGCACTGTAAATTTTTCCTATGAGACCTGCAGTTGTCACAGCCTGAGGCACATGCTTCTTTATCTGGGTTATCACTATAAATCCATATATTTGCGTGTAGCTACTTCTTTGAGCTCTGGCAGGACAGCCTAGCCCATACAGCAGAACCTATATGCACTTAATCAGTGCTTACAGGGCGTGGTGGAATGCTCTCACTTCTCTCGACCAGGAAACACAGAATCACAGTTCTGACTACCTAAGGGTAAAACCACAGTGACATGGGAAAATGGCTTCTGGGGGTTTACACAGGGACACCCCAATATGCAACTAAACGCTGGATTGTTGTGCTGCATCATTAAAGCATTGCCAAGAAACGGTGCCGTGGCTCTCCCTAAACACCTTCTATTTCTAACCCTTCTCGCATCCCTCGGGAAGCGAGCCCGTGCTTCCAAGGGAACCCCGCAGTGCTCGTCCTTTCATCCCGCTTCCCTCATCTCTCCATCTGACACAGCTTCTATCATGCGCCGCCCCCGCCAGCCTCCAGCGCCGATCCGGCTCACAGCCCAGCCCGCCTCCCGCCGGGCCGGTGCCCTCCCGCCACTCCTCCCACACCGCCCAAGGGACAGCGGCAGCGATACCTGCAACACGGCAGCAGCCCCACCACTGCCCTGCCCTGCCAAGCTCCACCCTGCCCGCAGCCGCTCTCCAGAGTCGACAGCGGGCTGACAGCGCCCAGGGCGGCCCAGCCCGACTCGGCAGCCGCTGCGTCGCTCCCAGGGCCGCGTACAGCCCCGCCTGCATCTCCGCAGCCGCAGCCTGATTCCGCTAAAGGCGCCCGGCCCGCCATCCTCCACGGCCGCCGCCCAGCTCACGCCACCACTCACCACACCAGGTCTCCGAGCCTCAGGCTCACGGCTGCCATCTTACCGACACAGACCGGCCGCGCCGCGCGGGGGCTGCCGGGAGCACGAGCAGGGGGGAGGGGGCGGTGGCCGCGCCTATTGGGTGGGCCCGTCACGTGGGCAGGCGGTCCGTCACGTGGGCGGGAGGGCAGTCAGCGGCCACCTCCCTTTCCCTCCCCGTCGTGACGGCGGCGGCTCCCATTGGCGCGTGGGGCGGGGCCGAGCCGAGCCGAGCCGAGCCGAGCCGAGCCGAGCCGAGCCGAGCCAGGAGCGGGGCTCTATTCGGCCCTCTGTCGGACTCTCCTGGGGGCACGCGCCCGACGTGGGTTGGCAGGGGCTATTGCGCAGGAGCTCGGTGTGGAGCGCATCGTCCGAAATATCGCTGGAAGGAGCGCCGTGTGCCAAGCGCATCGCGGGAAGTCTCTGGTGGTGGCTGCCGCCCCCGCACCTGTCGGGGCCCGTGTTTGTGTCGGGGCAGCGAAGGGCACTGCAGCACCCCCGAATTGATAGAATTCCCCTTAAGAAGCAGTAACCGAAGGACTCCTTTGCTGCCGGTGCTTGCTGCCCTCGGATTGCATATGTATCCCCGCTAGCCCCGCGGGGCCACACCAAGAAGTGGCGGGTTTGGAATATGATTTGCGCTCGTTCTCCCGGGGAGGGGGGAACGCCATATGTGTGGCTGTTGTGGAGCTGTATCGTTTTCCCTGATGATTTGCTGTGTGTAGTGATGCCTTTAATTTCTGTCCATGTAATTTCACATTTTTTCAAGCATTCTTGTCACCTCTTTTGTTCTGTGGACTCACAGAAACTGATGTGTAGGTGCCTTAAACGGACACAAGCTTTATCCTTGTGCCGCACAACCCCCGAGTACAAGCTCCCAACTCTGTACCCTGTAATAAGTGGTTTAACTGCTCTGCTGCTTCCCCCACATTTGGGTGGATTGATATATTTTATTCTAAACCCATGTTTAGAATAAAACACCTGCTTCCTCCCATGCCCCTGTCTTTTTTCAAGAGATGCACCATATTACTCTAAAGAGCATTGTCAGCCTTTTTAATATGTGGTTTCCTTTTTTTGTGTGTAGCACGCATGAACACACCTTTTCTCCTCACACATTGATCTTGGCTGCTGGAAAAACCCAGTCAGTATCCTGAATGCCTTCAATATAGGACTTTACAGCAATGCTGGAATTGCTGTGCTTCCTTTAAGATACGGATTTCAAAGAAAAAAATATAAGTCTTCTGTCAGATTTAATTTACCAGTCTATGGCCAAAATCCATGGGCTGACCTATGCAGTTTCTACTTAAAGTCTACTCGTTAAAAGTGTAGCCTCACTGTCCTGGGATTCCGTAGCTGGAGCAGCTCGGAGGAATTTCCAGCACCCGACTGCTGCTCGTGGCCCTGCCTCTGACTGAAGACCTGGGCCAGACCTGTTGCTTTAATGTTCCCAAAACCTGGTTTTGAACGTTCCCTGACATAGCTGAATTTGCTCAGATTTTTCTAAACCAGACGCCGTTCAGACGCACCTCAACAACCAAGCCCAGCTCTCCCGAGAGCCGCCCACTACACAGACCCGTCAGGCCGCGCCGGGCCTGCTGGCACCGGTGGGCCCGCACCGCGGCGAGGGGCCGCGGCACGCCACGCGCTCCACGAGCAGCAGCCTGAGACCACGCACCGCGGGCGGCTGGGCCACGCGGAACGCTGCGGCCGTGCCTGGAGACGGGCGGGGCTACTTCCGTGGGGTCCGGCAGGGCTTCCGGGAGAGGAGGGAGCGGTGGGTCTGGGTGTGGCCCTCGGTTCTGGTCGGCAGCGCGCCCTCGGCTGCCGCCATGGCCCGCAAGAAGCTGCACCGGCCCATCGCCGCCATGGCCAAGAAGATCCGCGAGTACCGGGCGCAGAAGGATCGGCCGCGGGACTCTCAGCGCTTCGCCGTGAACTACGAGACCATGCGGCGGCCGCTGACGCAGAAACGGCTGCCCGTGCGGGCGTGGGAGGACGTGCGGAACGAGAACCGGCTGTTTGCGCTCCTCTGCCGCCAGCCGCGCTTCGGTGTGGGCCGCACCGTCACCCGCAAATCCTGGCTGTGGGCGCACGACGAGCCCTGCTACTGGGTCATCACCAAGGTGAAGGCGGACTACATGGCTGAGGTACCTGTCCGATGCCGCCCCGCCGCGCCCGGCGGAGCTCCCGCCCGCCACCCCGCTGCGACCCACCCTCAACAGATTCCTCTTTTCTTTGCAGAATATGGACCATGGAAGAGCCTGGGGCTACTTGACCTTCAAAGGTAAATCCGGCTCGTTTTCCCACACACGGGGGCACAGCTAGAGAGCACCGGGTGCCTGAGGGTGGCAGGGGGACCGCGGGCTCCCTGCCTGGGAAATTTGTTTTTCTCAGATCTTCTAATGAGAAAATAAGTTCCCCGCGCTTCAAAAACTGGGATTTAGCCCCTTCAGAATGTTTTCCCAAGGAATGCTGTGAGAGAGACAGTGCAGTATGATCTTGGGGAACAGCAGCACTAAAAGCGTATTAGGTGAGCCGACAGACTATTCTGAGACTTTCAAAGCAAGACACGGTGTGAGCATGAGAGTATTCCAATTAAAATTTGTCACTAAAAAGGAAAAAATGCAACGGCAAGTAAGCTGTGTTACTGGAATTTTAAATTAATGATTGGAGTTGTATGAGCAAATTTTTCTTTTTAGAGCTGCTTTATATTAAGTATACAATTTTCCCTTACTGGAATTACTGAAATAGTACTCATTCAAAGGTTTCTAAGTTGTTGAGCATTTTTAACTCTTAGTTTTCCAGGAAGCTTTCATCAATGTAGGGAGAAATTACTCTTGTTCCTAGCTATGGAAATGGAACTTGAGAGAGACAAAGCAAAACTTTAAGTTAAGAGAGGGAGTCACCCACACAGCTGGAATATCTTGCCTTTAGTCCTTCTAGCCTGTTTCTATTTCGATTATCAAGGACAGAAGTGAGATCCTATAGTATAGCAGGGAATAATTTGTCTAGCCCTTTAAAAACTCTGTTTACTCTTGCCTGTTGTAGCATTTTGGGTGCCAAAGAGTCAACACTTCCTGTGTCTGGAGGCAGTTTATTGTGATGGTATTACCCACTGGTGGTCATCATCTTTTCCCAGGCAAAACTGAAGAGGAAGTGAGGGAGATTGACAAAGCCATGTACCATGACTGGCGTATGGTGCCCAAACACGAGGAGGAGGCCTTCAAGAAATTCACCCCAGTGCCTGAGGAGACCATTCGGTTCCTGCCATACCCACCACTGCTCCGAGCCATGATTCTTGCACAGTGGCAGAAGGAGGGAAAACCAATCATGGAAGAGCCAGTTATTGATCTAGAGAAGGTCTTGGCCTCTCCCCAAGAGCAGACAAAGAAAAAAGCTACAGGGACACCAGTATAAAGACTTCTTCTGTGTCCTGAGTCCCTTGTGCTCTCACTGCCTGTTAGAAGCTCAGTGGACAGGGGGTCTTACAGAGCCCCTCTTTGTCCATTGTGGTAGGATGTTTCCAGCTTTCTCCTCAGCTCTGCAAGTCACCTCATCTGAAAGGGAAGATGCAGATATATTCACACTCTTCTTCCATAACTTTGGCTTCAGTCAGCAGAAGAGTCTTCTTGGTTCCCTGGATAGTCTCTAAATACACAGCTCCAGTCAGCCAGCTGCAATTCTTTGGAGCATAACATGTTTTACATAACTTGGGTCCTGCATGAATCACAGAAAAATGACTCCAAATATCTCAGTATTTCACAGAGCTGTGAAAAAATATATCTGCAAATGGAAATAAATATTTTCTTAATTCTGCAGCACAGTTCTAAGAAAACTTATGAATTTTTTTCAATGCCTGGACGTCATTATGACAGCCAAATGCAGAGCCATTAGCTCAGGCACTGCATCTGGTTCTCTGAACACTGCAGAATCATCTGGGTTACTGGCAAGTGAAGGCAGTGAACAAGAAGTGAGGAACATGACTTCAGTACTAAGATAATGCAAAGCTATCCATCTCTTACTCCCAAAGATGGCTGTCAAGAGATAGGAAAAATTATTTTAGTTCTGGTAATGCAAAGGAAGTGGGATGATTGACTCTTGCCATTTGAAGCCAATTTTAAATTATCCCTGTTCCAGGGCAGCATGTTGTGAACATTAAAACATGCAGCTCCTGAGCACAGTTCCTGGTATTTCATTGTCTCTTGCAGTGGCTGCAGATGCTGCTGCTGTGTCAAAGGCTGTTGGAGTCTCTGGTCTGGGTGTGGGTGGAGGGAATACAAGAGCTGTTCAGCTCTATAGATCAGTTCCCTGCAGAAGTAACTGTTTAGTTCCTGTGTCTGCAGGTAATCAGGAGGTGGTGTTCCATTTACTGCTGCATCCTGAAATCACAAATAGCCTGAAGGGATTTAGTGAGGGAGAGCACAAACTCTGCTCCACTCATTGTGTGTGGCCTGGATGAAGCTGGGAACGTGTGGCCCTAGTCAGCAGGAAATGGCTGTCATCAGGCAGGAGCACATGGATTGACATCGGGTCTCTCAACAGAGGCTTCTGAAGGATTAAGATACTATGGGATACGAAGGAAGGCTTTTCTTGTGATTTAGAAGTTGGTCCTGTGACAAGGAGCAGAGTCTGGGAAGACAGCCTGCCTTCTTGTGGCAGGAGCACTGCAGAGCATGTGCCAGATCTAGTTCTCTGGCTTTAGAAGGAATGGGAGAATCCAGGAGAGGGAGAATCAATAATGTTAAAGGCACAATTTGAGGCTGTGGGCCTTCCCATAGCAGTTGCTGTGGCTGAGCACTGTGCTGAGCTGGTGTCTTCCTGTCTTCGCCATTACTGAGGTACTACTGAACACAAACCAAGATCAAGGGAGACGAGAGGGAGGTGTAGTTGTGAGTCAGATGGGATGAGTGGAACAGTCTAGTCCTCTGTCCTGCACAGCTGGGATCTGAATGTAGCACCACCACAGGAAGTGCCTCCCTGAGGGGGCACACAGAATCTGACCACAGTGGGCAAACTCAAGTGCTGGTCACAGCAGCCCCAGAAAGGCAAGAAATTGCCCATGACCAAAGTATAGCAAGGAGCCAAGCCTGCTATAGCAGCAAAAAGCAGATGGAGCTGATAAGGCTCACCCAGCACCTTGAGTGAGGCAGGATCGTTCAGGACAATGTAGTCAAAATGCAGCCCCCTGGGCCCAAGGAGTCTATCCAGGAGGGACTGGAGACAAACACAGTTATGTTGAAGACCCCAGGTTGTACTTGTCTGAGGCTCCTGGGCTATAGGAGGAAAGGGCCCCTGTACAAGTGGATGTCTGGGTGGCACTTACAAGGACAGTTCCTGGGGTGAGCTCAGGGTCATAACACCTGGGAGAATGGGTGTCTTCTCACAGAGCCCTGGGCAGCCTGGGAGCCTTACCCTGATAATGAAGGTCCCTTCTGGGAAGCTGCACAGCCTGTTTGCCATGTGTTGGATTCCATGTCCAGAACATGCTGTGAGCTCTGATGGGCCTCCCAAACCTGGATGTTACCTCACAGATCGTTTACCAACAGGGGACTGTTTGAAGGATGTTGACGTTGACCTGCTTCCTTAGTCACTAGACACAGCTGTACTTCACCCAGGGTCCTGCTCAAACTGCTCCAGACAGTTTTGAAGGGTGCAGACCCAGGGATTTAGGATGGATCACAGCACATGGCTTCCGAACCTCATTGTTGAGTTGCCTTCATTAATTTCAGAGACATTGCCAATTGTACCACACCCTAGCCTGTGCCACACCACAGTGCATGTGTTGGTCATGGAGGTGACTCGCCTTAGGGCTCCCTGCTCGGGGCAGAAGATGCTCCTTTCCAATCTTAAGGACATGATTCCCTTGTACACTGCCATGTCTAGCCCTTGAATCAGTGCAATTCTACAAAATAACTATGAAGGTGTCCAAATGCTGCTGGGACTGAGGGGCTCCCTGCAGTCGAATGATGCTGGTATCACCAATGCCTATGGGACTCTGAAGTGCCACCTTGTACAGTGCTGAAAACTGACTGGATGTGTTATCCCTGGCACTTCACCTGAAAAGGCCACCCTGACTGAAGTTGCAGAAAGCCAGCAGGTGAATGCTTCTGTGCTCCAGCTTCTATTTCTGAAGTTGTGCCACCTTTTATTTCTGATGCTGGTACAAGCTACAGATTGCACTGTTGTTGGACCAGCCCCTTCTGCTCCGACCTTGTGAGCCATCCGCATTTCATTTCTTGCCATTGAACTGCTCAACAGGGAACACTTGAGCTGCATTCCCACACTTGCAAGTGTCCAGTTAAAAACTGAGCAGCAATCCCAGTGGCTTCATAGGAACACAACACACTGCCCAAGCTGATGTTAACATGTTTACTACATACAGAACAGATACAGTTTGTTGTTGACAGCATAGGGGACAAAGCATGGGAACATATTCATACAGCAGGCTCTTTACAGAATGCCATCTTCAGACCAAACCGCAGAGTTTACAGGCCTTAAGACACTTTTAAAAATCCTTTTGTAATACTTTACATACATCACAGTGGAGATATGACAGAGAAGCGTACTGAAGCCAGTCGGTTCTCACTTTGATGCCCAGCAGCCACCCAAGGCCATAGGAGCTATCAATGGAGGCTGGGTCTCTCCCCTGCAGCTGCCCCTCTGGGCCATGTGCTTCTCTTGGAGGAAAACATGGCATTGAGCTAGAAAGTAACCTGAAGGGAGACTCCCTTGTGTTGTTGTGGCCCAGTGGGTCAGACAGGAGACCAAGTGCTGTCCCTTCAACTTCTCAAACCAGATACAGAACAGTCAGAACAGTACAAATGGTGCAATTCTGACTTTGCTATGAAAGAGCTGACAGAGCTAAGGAACTGAACCCTACCAGGGCTTTTTTTTCCCCTTCAACTAGCCCAAATTCTGAAATTTGCCTGGCCCTAACTGATGAAATATTAAATGACAGTGGAATCAGTGCTCTAAATGTGATACTGTTAACTTCAGTGCACTCTGTGTTGGGATCCAAAGAAGTTTTCCTTGCAGAAAGCATACAGTGAAAGTGAATTAGAAGCCTGGCACGGTCAGCAGTGCCCCAGCAAAATGTCCCTGGTGAAAGGTCCCCCAATATGCAGATTGGCTCCAAGTATCCCTTAACCTTGTGTCAGTCACAGAGCCCAGTATGCAGATGCATGGAAGATGCCCTCTGGCTGGATTCCTGCCTTGGGGAGGAGTGTTGTGGTGGGTGCATGTCACCAGTACTGCTCATATGTAGCATGGGCACCACTGTGGCTGGCTGAGGCCTCTGTTCACCAGATTCGTCTCTTGCCTTGCAGGGAAAATGTATACCTCAAACCTTTCCGGAACTGTTCTGGTTACAAAAATTGTTTCAATGCTCCTGTGGCAGAAGAGATGCCACATGTTAGAGCATCCCCTGGGAATATGACATCCCTGCAGCACACCAGAACCTGCAAGGCTGATCCATAGCAGCAAGCACAAGACACAGTGGGGAGCCTTCCAGGAGATGGAGGCTTGCCCAGCTCTCCTCATACAGTCACAAGGACATCTCTGTGAACCCTGGAGTGCTGTACAGGTCAGAGAAGAAACAAGTTGACTACCAGGAGCTTCCAAATTCATCACTAACACATGCAACTTGCCCTAATCCTGCACACCCAGAAAATAATGTTCAAGGAACACAGAATTTGTCCATGTGTCAGAAAGGGAGCATACACCATTGCCTCTACACCTGGAACTTCCATATTCTGCATCTTGAGCTCAAAACTACTCTCTGTGGCCCCATTTTTTGCTGCTTCTTTTGTAAGCAGAATGCACATTTGTAATCACTCAGCATTGCTTAGACAGAAAGGGCTATCACCCCTTTTGTTGGGGGCTGTCAGTTTTTTCCAGGAGTCACAAATTTCCAGCTTTTCAAACTACTTACTAGCAAAGTCAGTGCCGTGCCTGTGATGTGAGATAAAAGATGTCAGGAATCTAGCTTCAATTCCTTTTTCTGTGTGACATCAGGTGAGACACAGCCTTGACTGCACTTGTCCAGTCTTTCCTAACCAACTTCCAAGTCTTGGTGAAGAGATCTCCTTCCAGCAGGTCATAAAAAGGAGACACAGCCTTGAAATGAGGCAATCTCAATATGTTAATGCAGAACTCACAGCAGATCAACACCATCTGCCCTCACCTATCTTTTAAAAGCCACCAAACGCAATGCAGAGATAACCACCACATGAACCTTTCAGAATGAACTCAGGAATTCTTTTCTGTATGGTATTTTTGGAAGGAAGAGTTAAAAGTGTTGCCTTTTCTGGTCTTAAAAAAAGCAATATTCTGGTACTCTTTTGTTACTACGGCTGTTTGGCCTTAACCATCAAACACCCATCTCCCATCTGAGCCCACCAAACCTCTTGGGACACACACAGGCAGGCACCCAGCATTGGTGGGCAACAGTGACTGCTGAGGCAACAGCAGCAGCAGAGGAAGAACTTTAGCCCTGCAAAGATGGGAGATGTGATCCCCACAGTAAGGGTGCTGCTGCCTTTTCCAGCCGCACAGCCAAAGTGCTGCTGAAACCATGATGCTCTTTGGAGGGTTCCTTGGACCTTTAGTTGTTCTAAGTCCAGAGGATGTTATTCTGTGCTTAAGGGCAAATAACGGTAAGAGTCTACTGGTGAACTAGAAGGATTTCTGCTGGGGTGTTGCAGGAACGATTCACCATCACTGCTTTGGCAGGGAATGCCTGGGGACACACTTCTTTCTCATGCAGGTGGGAGTGAGGCGACCTGCGCAAGAACCTGAGCCACCCTCCTCCAGCTGCCCC